TTATGAATCTATATAACAGTAAATTAAATCTGTTGCCACTGTATCAATGTTTATATGTATAATAAATGTAAATTTAAAGTTTTAAATAGAAAACTTCTAATCTAACATTTTATGTTATGTTAATGCATTATAGTTCAGTAGTTAAAAAATTTAATAACCCATACAGCCCTAGTGCATATTATGCATGCGTGCAAATGTCACTCTAATAGTATCTCAGAAAGGATACACATACATGGCCATAAATTTTATTAAAAGGGTAAATACAACGCTAACATTTGCTTATGAATAATACAGAATTTATGGAATGTATGCTGAGTGAAGCATTCTACATAATGAATGTAAATAAAAATTTTAAAAAATGAAATAAGATAATCGGTGCCACACCCACACACTGATAACTATGATTTAAAGTCTCCACAATTTCTAAGGTATAATGTTTTTTTTTTTACTGCATCAGATAAGAAAAACCCCTCGTAAACTGTACACGGTGGGACGACCGGGTACCCTGCGTGTCCCGGATGCCAACGTTGAGAAGGAAAACACCTTTGAGATTTGTGTGTGTGTGTGTGTGTGTGTGTGTGTGTGAGAGAGAGAGAGAGAGAGAGAGAGAGAGAGAGAGAGAGAGAGAGAGAGAGAGAGAGAGAGAGGGTGAGTGTAAAGGGTGTGTGGTGTGAGTGTAGGGGTGTGTGAGGGTGAGGGTGTATGGATGTGTGTGTTGCGAGTGATTGTGTGGGAGGTAGGTGTGTGGGTGTAAGTGTTTGGGGGTGATGAGGTATGTAGTTGTGGGGGTGGGGTGGATGGGTGTGGGGTGAGGGTGGGGGAGGAATGTGTATGTAAGTAAAGGGGTGCGTGTGTGAGGGTGGGATTGTGGGGTGCGTCTGTGGGGGTGGAATGTGTGAGGTGTGGGTGTGTGGGTTTGTGGTGGTGTTTGGGTTTGTGTGTGTGAGTATGGGGGTGTGGGGGTTGTTGGTGTGGGTGTATAGGTGTGTGTGGATATGGGTGTGTGGGGTTGTTGGTGTGTGTGGGTGTATTTTCGTGTGTTGGTCTGGGGGATGTGGGGAGTGGTGCATGTTGTCGTGTGTGTGTGGTGTGTGTAGGTGGTGTGGGAGTGTGAGTTGTGTGGGTAGTGTGTGCGTTGCGATGAGTTAGGGTGGTGTGTGGGGTTTGTGTGTAGGTGTGTATGTGAAGTGTATAGGGTGGAGGAGGAGGTGTGGGTGTATGAGTGTGGGTGCAGATGTGTTGGGGGTGTAAGTGGGGTGTTGGGAATGTGGTTGTAAAGGGGTGTTGTTGTGTGGGTGGGGGATGTATTTGGGTTTTGGTATGTGGGATTGTGTAGGTATGTAGTGTGGGTGTGGAAATGTTGGGGTGGGTGGGGTTGTCTTTGTATTGTGTGGGAGTGGGGTGGGTGTTGTATATGTGGGTGCGTGGATGTCTGTGTGTGGGTGTCGGTGTGGGGGGTTTGTGGGGGTGTATGAGTGTTGAGGTGTGGGTGTGGTTGTTTGTGTTGGTGGGTGTGAGAGGAGTGCGGGGCTAATTTTTGGTTGTGTTTGGGGGTTGTGGGTGTGGAGTTTTGGATGAGTGGGATGTGTGGGGGTGAGGGTTGTGTGTCTGTCGGTGTGTGGGGTGGGGTGGGGTGGGGTGGGGTGGGGTGAGGTGTGGTTGATGTTGGTGTGTATCTGTGAAGGAGGTGGGTTGGTGAAGGGGTGAGGTGTTTGTGGGGGTGAGTGGTGTGTATGTGTATGGGGCGTTTGTGGGGTGTGGGGGTGTGGTGGAGCTGTGGGGGTGCGAGGGCGTATGGAGGGTGTGGGTGTGTGTATGGGGGTGTTGGGGTGTGAGTGGGTGTATGGGTGTGAGTGGGGGAGTATGTGTGTGAGTGTGTATAGGTGTGTGGGGATGTTTGAATATGTAGGGGTGTGGTTGTGTGGGTGTATGGAATGTGGCTGAGGTAGTGGGGTGGATGGAGGAGTAGGTGAGGTGTGGTTGGGGTGGGGCAAGTGGTGTGGGTGTGGAAGTGGTTGGTGTTGATTTTAGTGTGGGGGTTTTGAGGAGGGGTTGTGGGGTGTGGGGGTGTTGGAGTTGTTTAGGTGGGTGTTGGTGTGTATGTGGGGTTTGTGTGTTTGGGGTGGGGGTGTGAGTGGTAGGATGTATGGTTGTGTGTGGGTGTTTGTGTGGGTGGGCGGGTGGGTTGGTGTGTATGAGTGTGTGTGGGATGTGGGAGTGTGAGGGGGGTCGGTGTCGGGGTGGTTGTGTGTGGTGTGGGGGGGTATGTTTGTGGGTGTGGCGTGTGTGAGTGGGTGTGGGTTTGTGTGGGAGGTGGGGAGAAAGGTTGGGGTAGTGTGGGTATTTGGGTGGTTGTGTGTGGGGGTAGGGTGGTTGGGGATATGGGGGCTGGAGGGGTGTGGTGTGGGCATGTTTGGGGGTGGGTTGGTATATGGTATGGATATGTGTGGGGGGTGTTCACCCGTTGCCTGCGTTAGAAAGGAAACCCTCGTATTTACGACTGAGGCGACGGGTGCTCTGCTTTCACCAGTTAAAGTTCAACCGTTGCCAGCGTTGGGAGAGATACGCCTGTGTTTATGACGGAATGGACGGGTGCTCTGCGTGCACCCTTTGCTTGTGTTGGGAGGGAAACCCCCATGATTACGACGGAGGCGACGGGTTATCTGCGTGCACCAGTTGCCCACGTTGGGAGGAAGCCCTCGTGTTTACGACGGAGGTGACGGGTGCTCTGCGTGAACACGTTGCCTGCGTTGGGAGGGAAAAACCTGTGTTTAGTACGGACGAGACGGGTGTTTTCCGTACACCCGTTGTCCGCGTTGGGAGAGAAACCCTCGTGTTCAGGACGGAGGCGACAGATGCCCTGCACTCGTTTCCGGTGTAAAGAGGGAAACCCCCGTGTTTACGACGGAGGCGACTGGTGCTCTGCGTGCATCCGTTGCCTGTGGTGTGAGGGAACCCTCTGTGTTTACGATGTTGTCGACGGGTGCTCTGCGTGCACAAGTTGTCTGCGTTGGGAGGGAAACACCCGTGTTTACGAAGGATGCGACTGGTATTCTTTGTGCAACCCTTGCCCGCGTTGGGAGGGAAACCCACGTGTTTACGACGGATACGACTTGTGCTCTGCGTGCACCCGTTTACCGCGTTTGGAGGATAATCCCCATGTTTACGACGAAGGCGACAGGTGCTCTCCGTGGAAGCGTTTCCCGCATTGGCAGGAATTCCCAATCTTTACGACGGTTGCGACGTGTACACTGCGTGCACCTATTGCCTGTTTTGGGAGGAAAACCCCGTGTTTACGACGGAGGCAACGAGTGCACATAGTGCACCCCTTGTTTACATTGGGAGAAAAATCCCGTGTTTACGACAGAGGAGACGGGTGCACTGCATGCACTCCTTGCCCACAATGGGAAGAAAACCAAGTGTTTACGACGGAGGCGACGGGTACACTGCGTGCACCCGTTGCCCGCGTTGGGGAAAAACGTGTTTCCGACGGAGGCGATGGGTGAACTGCGTGAACCCTTTGCCCACATTGAGAGGAAAACCCTGTGTTTACGACGGAGGCGACGGGTACACTGTGTGCACCCTTTGCCCACCCACGTTAGGAGGAATTCCCCGTGCCTACGACGGAGGCGACGGGTGTACTGCATGCACCAGTTGCCCACGTTGGGAGGAAAACCCCATGTTTACGACGGAGGCGATGGGTACACTGTGTGCACCCGTTGCCCACTAGCTGCGAAACTTACTTATGGTCATTTAAGACCCTTCGACCTACAGTCTGCTTGATATTCGGGAAGGCGATAGAGGATTTCGTAATATTTAGGAGCTAAATAAATGATTGCTCAGCTAGCCTTACGTGCTGTTCTTACAATTGTAATTCCAACGATTGAAAATGTACACGTTTTCATTCCTTTCATTTTGAAAGAATAATGTTAAACACGTCTTGAAGTAATAAATGATTTATTCCGCTAGGTTTATAGAACAGATTTCCTTCTAATAATATGATTATATCTTACAGCGAAGTTAAGAACTGTTTCTCTTTTCAAATGTATCTAATATAAATGTTTCTTTTGAAAGAAGCGTTTCAATTTTGCTAGGCAATATTCTCTAGTAAATTGTACAAGAACGATTCTAATTTATTTTAACACGTCATTTACAATTGATTGTACGTGTTATGACCACCGCACAACACCAAATAAATACATTGATGTTGATTTTGTTGGCATTTTAAAATAATGGTTTTGTTGAAAAATCATTTCTGACGTGGAGCTCCTCTTTCATTAAAAATAAAAGAAAAAAAACCTGTTGCTCCCTCTTTAAACATCAATTCATGGGCGTAAACTGCAATCACCCTACTAATTGTTTGCTGTATTATACATTGACGTAGTTAATCATGATAGACTTAGGTTTGCCTACTTATAAATCAGTTGGTATTCAACGTATCCCACTGTTTCCCGCCTGGTTCCAATCATCTTGTGGATATTTGTCCTGAAGAAAAGAGGGCAAATAATTGCTTTTCATACCTTGTAATGGTCAATGATAAGGACAGTCGATTAATAAAGAAGGCGACGGGTGAACTGCGTGCACCCTTTGCACACATTGAGAGGAAAACCCCGTGTTTACGACGTAGGCGACGGGTACACTGTGTGCACCCTTTGCCCACCCACGTTAGGAGGAATTCCCCGTGCCTACGACGGAGGCGACGGGTGCACTGCATGCACCAGTTGCCCACGTTGGGAGGAAAACCCCATGTTTACGACGGAGGCGATGGGTACACTGTGTGTACCCGTTGCCTACTAGTTGTTTTTCATACATTGCAATGGTCAATAAAAATGGCAGTTTATCAATAAAGAAAAAAAAAACACACTATCTTCTTGAACAGGTAAGAGTTAAATAGTATTTTCTAGGCGATGAGGTATTGCATATTATGAAAACCCTTTGCTAACGTGTTGATCTCGTAGTTATAATGACAACAAATGAGTTTGGAGTAAATACTACACGTCTTCCAAGTGGTCTAGTGGTTAGAATTCCGCGCTCTCACCACAGCGGCTGGGGTTCAGTTCTCCTCTTGGGAATATTTCATTTTTAGTTGACCCCACATTCAGCTGACATCTTGTACAAGAGCTCGCCACAAAATTGTTAAAATTTTTCTTAGACATCTCAGAAATGTTAAACAATATTATTGCCATTACCGACCAATATATTTGCGTGTGCAATTACTTTTTGATTCATTCTCTTTTTCTCCTTTGTAACTAGGCTGTAAAACAGAATCAATTATCCAGAAATTGAATGACATGTATGGCATATTTAATAATTGGATAGAATAACCTCTTAACTGAAACATTGCAATTTCTTGAGACAATATACCGAACAAATTGATCACGGATGCACTGCAATGAAATACGTCTTGACATATAAATCCTTTAATAAGGAAAGTTCTTGAGTAAGATTTTGAGTCAGTTACTATGATTTCAGCAGGGACACTGTTGACCCATTTGTGGGGACTTTCAATAATGCTGTGCGTCAGCCGGACAAAGGTAAAGTTGTCTTTCTTGTATGATAGCGGGGCACACGAAATTTATTTTTCTTTATCGGTTATCGAAAATTTACCTGTTCTGTTTGTCTTCATATGATTACAGAACGGATTCTTTTAACACGTTTACAAAGACACACAAAAAAATAAAATAATTTATAATCTATAGTTTTTGATTTAGAGTGAGACACTGCAAATTTGAGCTAATAATTTCATTTTTTTCTTCTTTCTTTTACTAACTAGAATTACTCTGAATTAGATTCAACGTACTGGACAATGACTATCATTCAAATGCTGGCATTTTTCAATATGCATATATGTTATTTAGGCGGAGGGAGTTATTCATTTGATTTAAATAATATGGACACATATCAGAAATGAGGAGTTCAAAGATTTACATTTTCTGTGTTTGCAACGTCGCATCTATTTTGATAAGAAATATAAATATTTTCATTCTTAACTTATTCCATTTCTTTTTAATTGATGACACAGAAATAAAGACAAGGTTAGGACTTCCTGAAACTATTAGTGATTGCTCTACAAATTACCCTCATTTCTATACCTGAATTTAGTCCGTATGCCTCAGAGATGATGGTAGCTAATGCTTCAAGATTGTACTTAATGGGGGGGGGGCACCAGACAGATGCCACCTTCTCTACTTAACCAAAAAAAATATCTAAAAGGTTTTATGTGTTCTTGTTTTCCCCCTTCTGTATTGCTATGTTTATATTTTTTTAAATTCCAAAAAAAAAATAATTTTCCATTCATTTAAATTTTGTTGGGGTATTTTTTCCCTAGTGTTTTCTATAGGTTTATTTCTCCGACAAGGCTTTATCTCCCTTGTCGGAGTCATTCCCCTTTTATATGTAGTTTAATCTTGGCTAGGGGTTCCCTATGTCCTGTGTTTGCTGTGTGTTTGGTGCATGTGTATGTTGCTATATATTGTATTCTTGTAAGGACAGCCAAATTATATCAAATTCAAAATCATTCAGTTTTCCTATTTTTATTATATACATCCCATTCTTACTATTACACACTCCCCTTCTTCCATTCTTACTTTTAATTCATTCATAGAAGCTTATAATGTATTCATCTCCATGAAATTTATTTAAATATTTAATTTTGAATTTAGAGGTCAGACGTAGTTTCCTACTTATTTAAAATTTTAGATCTATCCTTATTGTATGCGTTCTTATTCATACGTCTGCCTATTAGACTTAAAAGTTTTGTTGTTAGGGAGCCAGGGTCTCAAAGTTTTTTTAATTCGAACCCTTCCTCCCCAAATCTTTTCGAAAATACTAATAAAAGGCCGTAAAAGAGATTGGAGTAAATCCACCCATGGTGATTTCTGAGGCTTTTCCGCAGGCCTGCTCACTTCGCGTATCGCCATGTGATATAGTCCTACGTCGTCATTGTCCCTTACTTCCTCCATGCGTGGAGTTACCTGTAAAAAAACAACAAATAAGACAGATGTAGATTAGAGCAGATAAAGAATTACTCTCTTACACTTAAAATTGAACCACATATATTCATTGTATTTATAATAAAACCTATTACTTGCAGATATTCGGTTTGATTACAATTAGTATCTAAATATAATAACTTTTCTGATTTTTATAATCCGTAATTTTTGAAGATCTTAATTATTCCTTCTCTCTCAGTTTTAACATTTCAGTTTATGAAAACATGTTTCCTTGTGTATTCCGCTTTTTTAAAAAAAATTTTCTTTTCTTTCTTAAATAATTTCATTTCTTTTAATTGATGACACAGAAATAAAGACAAGGTTAGGACTACCTGAAACTATTCGTGATTGTTCTACAAATTACCCTCATTTCTATAACTGAATTTGGTCCGTATGCCTCAGAGATGACGGTAGCTAATGCTTCAGGATTCTACCTAAGAACTAGTGTCCAACTGGCTTCCACGCTGCTAGAAATTCGTATCAGATGACACCAGATACTGTGGATTTTGTAGCTAAATGATTTGAGAAATAAAAATTGTGCATCTTTCCGAGCCATGACATTTTTATATCCAAGTATCAACAAAGTACACTCATAACATCCCAAGTTAGGATTCGACGCTGTCACCACTGCCGCCTGGGTTCGATTACCCGCTCTGGAAACTTTTCTCTTAGTCGGTCACGCATATGTCGCAAACGTTAACTGAGTATCTTTCGGGAAAATCATGATCGGATTTTGAAAAAAAAATTAATTTATCGATAAAATTACGTTTATGTTAGGCTTGTTATATTGGAAACTATTAACAATTAAAACTTTGAGAGATGTCCCTTCTTTATTTTAATTCAAAGGTAAGATCAGTAAATATTTCCTGTAACTCAAGCACATCAGAGCCGGTAAAGTGTACATTCAAGAGAAAAGGAGACCCATCCTCATGTTGGCACATCATTATATATATATATATATATATATATATATATATATATATATATATATATATATATATATATATATATATATATATATATATATATATATATATGTATATATATATATATCGAGCGCAATTTAGCATTGTTACAAAGACAAGATTAGAAAATAAGGAATACAAATTCAAACTTTTCAGGCGTATTTCGCCTCATACGAATACGATCGCGATATTTTTACTTTTAGATCGCTAAATTTATTCTGCCGACGCTTTTTCGAAGAGAACGCTTAGTGATAAATTTGGCCGTGAGCAAGAAAGAGATTTCAGACTGATTTCACGGTGAACTGTGAATTGTAAATAATTGCGAAAGGTCGAAAATAAAAGAATCCAAGTAAAACTATCCCAACCAACCTGTCTATATTTTCAGTTTCCAGACTGCGTACCCTTAATCATTTTTCTTCAAAGGCATCTATTCAATAATATATATATATATATATATATATATATATATATATATATATATATATATATATATATATATATATATATATATATATATATGACTAAAGTGTAATTCTTAAGGCCACACCTAGGCAACCGACTAGGGTAGGAATGGGCAGAGGTCGAACCCTCGACCCTTGAAATACGTGCTTGCGCTCTACCAAATTAGCTACTGCACCTACCGACATCGATTTAGTGAAACGTCAGTACGTCAAAGCTGATCAATATATGATTACCCCATTTATGGTCGCTACAACACCATTCCCTCCCCGAAACATCTCGCAGTGTCAAGAGCGTCGCATATATTTATTCAAATAATAGTGTACTATGAACGGACTGATATTCAAATACAGAATGCAGTGCCCATTCCGGCCAATAAAACATTTTAAAGAATAGAAAACTGAACCAGGAACGGACCGATATTCTAGAAAATATCCGTCTTCGAATCTTACCACAACCGAGAAGCAACATTCTACAGGAAACTGGACACCAGCTCTTGTACACTGATGGCCAAAACTTAATCTTCAATTGTGGAAAGACAAATGCTGCTCTGTAATAGAAACGTCTCTTTGTGCACATCAATTGAAATAAAGTAAATAATGAGAAAGAAATTGAAATGTAAATTACACAAATTCCAAGAGGATAATGAGCACATTATAGTTCTATCGATCATCAATGCCTATGATCGAGGCTTTCAGGGTAGTGCACCAATTGTAAACTTCTCAAAAATCAATTAAGTGTATGATGGAATCAGATTCATAACACCATCGCCTCTTTAAGATGTAAACTGTAATTACCCTGCGACGCTGGTGATTTATTGATGTTTTGGGTCCTTTTCATTCTGTTTCTTCTAAATTTTGGACTTAGAGCTCATATGTTTTGCTACACGAATTATAGATGTTTTTATTACCACCCTTAGTTACTGTTCATAAATATAAAATGTTTCAAAACGTTATTTTTTATTAGATAATTTACAGTGCCGGATTACCAAATAGCCAGGGTAGGCACCGCCTTATGGGCCAACGCCGTTTAGGGTCGCCTTATAATGGATCAAAATGATATTAAATTGATTTGATCTTGACGTAATATGATATAATTTGTGAGGGGGTCCCCGAGATTTCGACTGCCCAGTGATCTCCAAGAGATTCAATCCGGCACTAATCATTTATATCCTACCTAGTTATCAAACAAACAATGAAGCATATCAATTAAGTATACATGACCTTAGTCATTGTTCAAAGAAAAGATTAAAAGATTTGCTAGGTGACTTTCTGGAAGACAAATATAATAACGTGTGAGGTTGTAAGGTATGTTTCCGGTTTCCGGCAGTGTACAATTTGTTTTGTTGGATTCTTTAAAGTCATGATTTAATAGAACTTTCTATTGTTTTTGTAGTTGTCACCTCGTTTTGTGAGACACATACTGCATTTTTTCCATCTTCCTAAGAATAACATGTTAAGGTTCGGTTAATTTGTCAGATTCGTTTGTACTGGACTATATAAGCGAATAATATCCATGATAAACGCCACACAGCTAAGAAAATATCGCATCTCTCTCTCTCTCTCTCTCTCTCTCTCTCTCTCTCTCTCTCTCTCTCTCTCTCTCTCTCTCTCTCTCTCTCTCTACAGTGGTATATGCTTTATATTTCCCGTTGTC